CAATGGCAACAAAATGAATTCGAAATTGAAATAGTATTTCCTAGTGTATCTGATATGCAACATTGAAACAAAATTAAGTTCATGAAAATCATCCATGAGAAAACATATGTGAATAACATATTATTGTATATTGTATAATACATGTTCCTATGAATCTGATATCATTCAGAAAATACTATTCTGTTTCCATAAAAATATATGCATTTCCATTATTCAATAACATATCTTTCTAATAAGTGAAATGTTACATAGTCTATTGTACTATTTTCCAGTTATCATTGATGAACAAAATCAGATGTCATCACTCTTATTCCTCACGTGGAGTTTGGATCCGAAAATATAGGTTTGTCAGTTGTAGCCTCAATGACTATTCCTTTAGCACCGAAAGCCCATCTCAAGAAAGGTCTCATTGATTCCAATAGCCTCTGTGCCCTCAACGCTGAATTCTGTAAAATGAAACGTATTGGTTAAATTTTTTTCACAAATATCAAAAAACGAATTTTTTGTAATACTACTTCAGTCAATTCGAAAGTAGGTGCAATATTTCTTCATTGGATGGACATATTACTTTTGATGGACTCTGAAAATAAGCTGAAATAAGTGGGAATTTCCACTGGCGTTTTATGAATATATTTTTCTCGTTGTTCACCATGAACAATCTCACTCCTTCTTTATATTATTGATATATTTTTGTATTGAGATTTTGTGCGAGATGTTTTCAGCTAAGATATCATTTTACGATATTATTACTGAGATAAAAAAGGGAGACGCATTGTTTGTACTCACAATCATAAAATCTCCAACCGTTGTTGAAAGGTTCGTAACCAATGTGAATGAAGACCCAAAAAGTTTGTCTGGAACTTCAATTGATACTGGTTTTCCTGGCTCAAATATGACTATGTCCTCTGTTGTCGTTGGTGTTTTTTTGGTTGTCGATTTGGGCAATTCCCAGACGAATCCTTTGGAAGCTGGATTCTGACAAAAAATAAAGGTGGTATTAGTTTTGGTCATACATTAAATTGAAATTTCAAAAACTGCACCTCACGATTTGATCTCCACAAAGTTTGTGGAGATCAAATTGTGATGTGTAGTTTTTGAAATAACTATGGATATTCATCAAGTAACGGTCGAATCAATCAGAACATTAAATTGAATTCAAACTTTTTGGGAATTTGATCATTTTCGAAAATACTTGACATGAATGAAATTTTTATGATTCGATATATATGAAAATTACGGATTAACTATACATCCTGGGTAGAAATCCGTTCGTCTTTGACATTATTATGACGTTTCAGCAAGATCCCACGTGTGATATTCATGTGCTCTGCTTGGTAGCTGAGTTTGAAACTCGAGTAACATTCCGGGATGAACTTTTCAGTTCTTTCTTCATTACACTTCAGCTTATCCTCTATTGATCTGAGTTGATTTATTTTTTCAAATCGTGAAATATTGGATAGTCAAGAAACAGTAAAAAATCCAAAATTTTCTACGTAACAAATTTCACAAAAAATAAAACCCTATTAATTTTCAAAGAGAACATTTGGAGTACAAACATTAGGAAAACATTCAAAATTGCCACATCCAAATCCGAATTGAACAATTTTGTATTCATTTCTTGCGAAAATACTCGAAAATTTTGACTCTCAATAATTGTTGATAATTCATACCATGAAATGTTTTGATAGTGAAGATATAATAAACAAAGTTAAGAATTTACTCATGGATATGTAGTTCAGTGAAGTCGAAAGTTCAGATACATGCGTAATTGCAACAGATGACAGAATCTCTGATTGAAATAAAATTCTCCTGAAAAACAATTGAATAAAATACTTCATTACAAAAAATTATCAATTATAAGTTACAGCTATTACAATCAATTTAATCGACTTCAGAAAATGTTCATTGATTCGACAAGTATTTATTGGGACTGAAAAATATTCAGAACTTGCCCACCTACGGAGGATAACCCTCAAAAGTTGAAACTTGTAATAGGTGAGCATTAACAAAGTCCTACTTTTTGATGTGCCATTCCTAGCACAAATTTGACGATGGTAACTGATATTCGATCGTCCGGCTTATCGGCTTGAACCACCGTTTCACCTGGTGGTCGATTGAATAAGTGGAACACTTATTCAATCGACCAACACTAACCCAACCGGTTATCGCCATGTAAGTTTGTATACACATATTTCTCTGAAACTACCAATCGGATTGTAACCTTACATTTTTCTGGCTCAAATCCAAATGGCCTCAGAGAACAGTCAAGTTCAATCAGAATTGGTTTGATAGTTATCAAGATATGAACCAAACCAAAAAGAGTTTCATAATTTGTCGAAATAGTTCAACTTGTGGTAATTAGGACTGAGTAGATAAGTAAATAAGTTTTGGTAAATGCCTGCCGGAAAACAACTACTTCCTTGACTAATACCACGATGGACATTGAATTATACCTGATACACAACTAGGCATGATACCTCACAGAGGTGAGTATTGCAGATGTTTCGCGTTAATTCAGGAGCAAGACTATCTAAAATCCAGGCTGGTTCCAGACCCAAACAACAATGTGCTTGAAACTCGACTGACTTCAACACGCTCAACTGCATGTATGAAACATTTGTCTGAGAGAAAAACGGTTAACAGTTTCATCTTGTGAACAAATTCTCAAGCGGGAAACAAATATTTCATGTAGGTACCGGTACTCTTACTGAAATCAAAATAAGTCTGGAGACTATATCGAAGATAAATACATGCATATTGAGAATTGATATTTCGAAACGAATTTTCGAAAAATTCATCTTTTTCAACGTATTTCGTCAGGCATAGCCTTCTGTGTGGTAGTTGGTTATATCTACCGGAAGACAACTGCTTCCCGGCTAATATCACGAAAGACATTGATTATATTCGACAGAGATATCTTGCGTATATGTATGTCGAATAGAATCAAATGTACATTAAGGTTATCAACAAAACAGAATCAAAAGTACGTAGATGACAATTTTTGAGATAGGTGCCAGCACTTAAGAATGGTAAGTATCAAATCACCGACCTCAAAACTCCCCAAATTGTTTCGGTCAGACTGTTCACTATGGATTGACCTGCATGGATATATAAATCCTAATTATTCAACTTCATTTTCAATTACTTACGAGCTTGTTTATGAATATTATCTTCAAAATCAACATAGGCCTATTGTTTGAAATTTACGAAATACATACATGCAAATTATCAACATCAAAACACTTTTATTCGGTATGTCATGCTCCGTCTGGCAAACAACATCAGTTACTTGCAAGATATTGATTGGAATATGTGTCTCACAAAATTTGGATCTCTAGTCCGTAGACATGTTGAGAATTCATCACTTTAGCAATTAGTTTTTCTGTTTTTTCTTATTTAATTTTTATTGTTGCGAGTTGAAATGAGTAGTGCTTATTGTTAGATAAATAATACATCCCCATATTACATTATTTCATATATAATTTCAAGTGCTTGTATATACATGTATATTTCTTATGAGTCATCCTTGTAATGAGGCCACTAGGCCTGTTAGGTTGAAATAAATAAATGAATATCAACTCACAGGATGACATTTCTCCATTGATTATTTGAAAAATTTGATGAATAATTGTATATGTTTGCTCGATAAACACAAAAACTACTTTACTGATATGAAAAATTATTTCATTCAACAGTAAAAGACAATTATATGACTGAGCCTTGGACGTGTCATTAGTATGATATAAAAAAGCTAATTTGATTTCTAATATCCCTGAGTTTCAGGGTTCAGAATTTTTGCAGAAAACTTTGCGAACTTTTTTATTTCAGATTAGAAAACGAACATTATGGAATGGAATCTCCTAATATTAATTTCTCTGAGTGTACCTACTCAGTAGGTTCTGTTAGCTGACTACCAAAAAACAAATACTTCTTCAGCTACTATCACGCTGGACATTGACTCAGTAGAGGGGAATAGTCGTTTTTTGACAGGCATTCACTAGAACCTACTGTGTAGGTACGTTGGGAATGATGAATTCTTCGACACACCATTTCGAATTGTTTTTCTTCTTATACGTATGTATTTTTCCTCAATTCAGTCTTTGGATTAATTTGATTTTTATTTCAAATAAACTCCATCAGTCAATTTGAAGAAACCATTGAAGCTGGAGTTTCCTTCCTGAACTCCAAACTATTCAAAGGATGGTATTTGCGACTCTCATTCTACTTTCAAATTCAGGGAATATAAGGACAACTGAAGCAGAAAGTTATGCTCAGTTTCCATTACGTGTGAATAAAGTGTAGTTGACTGAGAACAAATATTTCGTGATAGGTTCGTATTGAATTTTCCTCTCGAATAGGAAACCCAGATGGAATTCCACTTTGTTCTTCTGAATAATGAATGCTCACATTTCTCAAAGGTAGTAAGTTGTATGCTCTTGATTTCAATTGTGGAATTGTATTACTTATGGTCTGAGGCGTTACCTGAGTTCCTTCAACCGCAAGACTCAAAAGTTTATCGCCCAATCATGAACTTAAATCTCCTAGCCTCTATTGAAAAAAGGTATGGCAAGATGGTTTTCACGATAATTTTTTTAGTACGGTATCACCCATATTGTTTTCAATGCATTGATTTGCTGAAATGCACATTGTGTATCGCAAAATATAAGGTAACAGAAGTTTCCTTAGAAAAAATGGTTTCTTTGAAAAATAACGACTGAAGCACCACTGTGGGAATGATAAAAACTGTTATTTTTATTTCAAAATAGTTTTGTGAGTCTCAGCTGAGTTTTTTAATGAAAGTTATCTTGTGATTTTATGGAAAACATAAATAGACAACGTTCATCACATTGAATCATACATTCGAACTAACAGGAATCTAACTCTTAATTTCTGACTTCAAAATCTATTTCAAAGTCTAGAAACGATGGCAAATGTTTGCAATATCTTTCAAGATTCTGAAGACGATTTGGTGCATCCTGTAACATAATAAGAACATAAACAATTTTATAATATCATTTTTATTCAACTTTTATATACAAAATCTACAAAAGTAATATGATATACAGCCAAATTTCATACAGAACATAAAAAATATTACAAACAAAATACCAAAAAAAAAACACAGAATGGTATTACTAACATATACCTAAAAATTCAAATTTGTGAACAATAAATTAAAACAGATCCGAAGTCTAATAGGTCTTTTCAATATTCGGTGCTCGAGCTTGGAACAGGTCAAGGTACCGAAGAAAATGACAGATTACAACAGCAAAAACTAGGTTTTGAGTGAAAGCTATTTGTTTGGTGTTTTTTAAGCAGTTACATAACATAATGATGGACATTTGATTGAAATTCATGTTAACCTTGTAATTAATACGAGCTCTCAAGTTAATAATAGTTCAAAATATTTTGGGAATGACCTCTCTAGAATAACTGAAGGTGATTTATAGACTGGACGATAAGTGAATTTATAATAGTTTTCACGGTAGTCACACAAAGAGAAAAAATATAATATAGTCTGAAATGTCATGACCTCAAAATATTGGTTACTGAACTACGATTTGACCAATCAGTGAAATGGTGTAAATGTTTAAGAAAAAGTAATCTGTCAAAAATTTGTCAGCAATTCAGGAAAATCAATGACCAACAACATAGAAAGCAGTTTCACTGAACTAACTGACAAAATAACCGAAAACTTTCCGAATGTTTGAGTATAACTACTTGAGCAAAAAATATGGCAAAACTACTCTTGCACAAATAAATAAATTCTGCTTTCATTTCATCAATCATTTATGTTGGTTAAAAATCACTGGACTTCGAATTTACTTAAATAGCAGCGCCACCGGAACCGTGACTGCTTCCAAATCCTTTGTTGAGAAGGGCGCCAAAACTGAACCCTGTGTGACCACCGCTTGAACTTCCACTACCCAGTTTATTTGTGACTATGTTGAGCACAGGACCTGAAGCTTGTAAGACATTTCCAATAGCTCCCGAAATGACCGAAGATAGAGATACAACGGGATCTGCGGGGGGTACAATATTGTGTGCGGCATTTTTGGCAATGTTTGTTTTATCCAACTGGTCGATCCAAGCGGTCTTCTGGTCGATGAAGGAGTTTATTTTCTGTGAAGTTTTCGAGTTAGTGAATATTGTTTTTATGCTATTGGGATTAGGCACATTTGAAAATGAATGAGAGAATGAGAATAAGGCATATTTCAATGCTGAAAAATTTGAACGAGAAGAACTCTGGGTAGATTTTATACTCAATGATAATGATTCCAGTGGCAAATTCATGATTCAGGTGAGAAGTCAGCAATTTGATTCGAAACGTCATTCCGAATATGTGAGTATGCTAATTCACATGCATTCCTCACAGTTCAGTTCACTAACAAAGTACAAACACATAATGAATATTTTTCAATGATTGATTTTCAGTTCAGTATTTGGAAAGTAAATATAAATTGAAGTTATTTCAGCATGATATGCCTGAAGCCATAAACCACGAGGAATGAATCAGGAAATATTTATATTTTTCCGAGTTCCTGAACATAATGATAGTTGTCAGCCATTCAAATCAAATTCCAGAAAAAATTTCAATCTGGAACAAATTCCCAATTTTTATATTCACTTTCTGCTGTTTAAAAAAAAATTAAATCCAGTTCGTATTTATCTGATGAAGATATATTCAAGAAATGAATAAAATATATTCACAGAATCTTTGACATCCTGTAGTCGGTAGTTCAGTTTCAAAAAGTAAATATCTTCAATAGCTGCCATACAAAAGTGATAACCTAATTCTCTTTCAAGTAATCGGTAAATTCATTATTCTGTTTCTCTGTTGAATTACATTTCCATTTCTCATTGTGGAGGTACTTAGAAAAATCAGTATAATTCAAGTCGAGTCGAAATAACCTGTCTCTTGAAGAAGATAGACGAAGAAGAAGAAGAAGAACATATCAGAATGAAATGTGGAAAAAAGCTACATTTCCGGAAAGTGAATCCAGCATTGAGACGAAGTGAGTTTGTGAGAGTTTTGTTTCATGTGTTCCAGAGTTGAGAGAGAACTACCACGAAATTGTCCTCATTACTGAATAGTACAAGATAAATGTCTGCTCATAAACTGACAGAGACAGGGTATTAATGTGATTTCATAGAATATGAGTTTTGTATCATTTGACTGAGATAATTTGAAACAATTTATATGAGAAATAATTATTCGAAAAATGATGTGCTATTGAAGAAATGCATCGATTGAGTTTGAATATATCTCACAAAATCACTATACCNGAAATAAGCAAAATCTTCAGAAAATTACTAGCCATGCATGGCATTCAAGAAAAATGTTTTTTCGTATATCTGTACCTTCAAATGACCATGTTTATTAGAAATCAGGTTAGACAAAATGTTCATGATGATATTTCATGATTTTCATGATTGTTCCAACAATTTGAACTGTCAATTTTTTTTCTGATAATTAGTGGCTACTTATCACATCTATTCAGCTACCCATACTTACATTGAAAACAAATCCTATTACGGCATTTTTCACTCCTGTTACTACTTCCACTTTCCTTTTGTCTCTGTTGATACCATGATCAGTCATTTCCTGCAAAAATAATGCAATTGAATCAATTCGTTACAATTGTGACATATGAGATCGATTTCGATGCTCGACTGAATATCGAATATGCCTGTATTCTGTAGATGGAGAAAATTCAATTTCATTTCGTAGACTTTACTCTTACTCTGTTCAATTTAATTTCCAGGATTATGTTTCCTTCATTCGTAGAACTATTCAATATTTTCAGAATGCAATTCACAAATAGGGCGGCGTGTTCAATTATAGAAATAAGAAAGTGATTGGAAACCACTAAAAGTACAATAGATTTTGGAGAACGTGTTCAGTGCGTTCGTGCTCCAAAAATTACTCATGGTAGAATCTTCTGTTTTATGAACCACTTTCATAATATATTTTGTTACTTCACGAGTATTCGAATTGGATGAAGTGAATAGTTATTACTCATTTCACGTTCATGGAAAGTCATGTGATCTTGAATCATTGTAAAATTTGAACCTCACTTGAGAATCAAGTCAATACCTGCTTTCTCTCTATGTAGGTGATGATCTGAAAATCCAATCCATCGACCACAGCACTTCAAACAAAAGGTTTGCAGAAACTAATATCTTCATTTGCATCCATAGAAAATGAGAGAATATATGTTGGTGAATACTCTGAATGATACGTAGATGAGGTCAAATCAACCCAAATTTTTGGTAGGCTAACCCAGTGATGGCTTGTGAAGTATGGTAACAAATGAAAGTCGGTTTTCTAATGAGAGTAAGTGATTTATATGCAGAAGGGCAACTAAGCCAATCTTCATGCCCACTGACTATATGTGAGAAGTTTTCTTTCCTTATACAACTAATTGGGCAAATTTCGGATATGCAGTTGGTTATCTCATTCACAAGTAGATGGGGTGATGACAAACTTGTTGTGTTGTCTGCTTCTGCGTAGTTCCTGGAATGATACTCTGATGGAATTCTATTTTATTCGATTTTCAATTATCGAAAATCATCGACTTTATGTTGATGATAGACACTACCTCGCACTGACGATATTATTACTGAGATNGGATCGTCCGCGCGGTAGAATTGTCCTTAGCCTCTACACCAGCGTAAGATATTGAACGTAGAATGTAATCGTCATTTTTTTTTTAAGCAAGAACCGCATCAACCACAGAGAGTTATTAGCGGGGTACATTGCAAGTTATAATAGATATATACACACATATATACGAACTTCATATTTGATTGTATACATTAATTTTCTTTATAAATTGTATAGTTTTCTCCACATTGTTATTCAAAGTAAGTTTTATGTTCTCGCTGATGTTCATTAGTTTTCGTTCTTCATTGTAGTAGGGGCAGAGACATATGATGTGTTCCACTGTCAACGGTGTATTGAAAAATTCACATAATTTGGGAGTTTGTTTCTTGAATAAATGTGACATTTTTTGTTTAGAATGAAACAGGCTATCGGAAATGAATTTTTAAATGTTAAGACAAAAAGTAACATGGAAATAAATTTTAGGGGTTGCGTTTTTCACCCCTTACAACCATGGTGTAAACCAAATGAATTTCTGGCTAAGTGTCTTTTTGGTAGTTCAAAACGTCACGTCAATTTTAATATTGTAACTTTTTTAGTGCTTGTGAAACAAATTGTTATACAAATTTTATGTACCCCCTTTAAGGGGCTGTATCTTAACAAGGGATGCTCCAATGAAATTTCTTTATATGAAAAATTCTATCAGGATCAGAAGGAATCACCTTTTTAAATGTTTTACACTTATTTAGTTACACCCTGTATTGTGAAGGTAAATAAAATTGAACGTTCCGAAATAGACTATGAGTTTTCATGAATGCAATATCTTTCTGATTGAAATATTTCAGCAACATCTCCTTTGTAGCAATTCTATACCTAAATTTGAGAAAATGTTCAGAAAAGGGTAAAAACAATTCTTGATTTCTTTTCTCAAATACAAAAAAAAATCATTTCTATCCGAACATTTCATAGATGAACATTCATAAAATAGTCAATCGTGACCTATAAACAGAATTTCCAATGTAATATTTCATCCCAACCACTTTTTCATTTGGCCTCAATTTTCTGTACGTATATTTCCTGTAAAGTTTCACGAAATTTGGATAAATTCACACTGGAACAACTGATTCATTTTGTTTTAGATCCACAACTGTTTTCATGTTTTATGGAATAAGATTCAAAATTGTTCAACTATATTTTCATGAAAATACTTTTCTTTTTCATTTCAACAAGTCACCTGAGTTTCAATATTCGCATTGACGACATTCGGATCTTTTAAATTTCAAGAATAGTCCTGAAAAGATATAGCCTACGAACTTATCAGCAATTCAGTTTGAAACCTAAACCATATTCTGTTTCTCATTTCTCCTATCATTCCTCATACGGCACGTGTAATCAGTAGTGTAATGCCTTCCCAATTTCCTTCAAATCTATCCAAATCTCACTTCAAACGTTCGGCAATTTCCATTAATGTATATATCGAACTACTATAACGAATAGATATTTGACTGAATTTATATTATCGACTAAGCACCATTTCCTGGATACCGATTGACCACTTTATACTGAAATATCTATGGACTTATTTGACGAATCATTCAGGTACAATATTCTATCTCGAAAATATATTGCGGAAAAGAAAGGTTACAATGAGATACATTTCACCAATACAGTGTAGAGTTAAAAAAATAGATGAATGCTGAAGAAGGAAAACGGGGATAAAGATCAAATGATGAAGAACTGACATACTTTGTAATTGAGAAAACAATAAACTATACCAAAAAGTGTGTTGGTTTAACTTTTCTGTATGTTGAAAAACTTCTTAGCCCTGGAGCAGTTGCTCAAACATTCAGCAATGATTTGGCGGCAGATGATAATGGATGTCTGATAGATGATAATGGGTGTTTGACATTTGATTCATCATGAATGTGATCAATGTGACCAAAAAGGACACATAAAGTGGTTTTATATGATGTTGTCCTAAGGAAACAAACACTGTTTGTGTTTCCTCCAAAGTCGTATCTTTCGATTCTTCAGTGAAGAATTAACATTAAAAAAAATTGTGCAAGTTGCAAGATCAGGAGTCAATTTGAATGCATCAGATATATTAATATAACCATCAAATTCTGGACATGGACATGGTGTTTTGGTGGACAATCTGAACAGACCTAACTCCTGATAACTAGAGAACGAAAATAATGCGAACGATGAATATATATTATATGACGAACAATTGAGAAACGGTCTGAAAAGAAGTAAACTCAAAATGTTTCCCGATCTACTCGAAAAAAATTTTTGGTTGGACAGGCATATTTGTGGCTCATTCCAGATAATTTTCTGAGGCAATCTAAGAAATTGGAAATTACAATTCCATTTCAGTAAGAAATCGTTGAACCTGCACACTCGGTTAATGACTGTTGATGTTGATGATTTTTAAGAACAAAACCTAATATGTACTCATATTCAAATTTCGGAGTATTTGGTAGGATATTGAATCGAAACTTAATTAAATTTGGGTCACCAGACGTTTTGTGATGATATTATGTAAGTCATATTCGAATATAAGCTAATGACCATGATCTACCTTAACGAAGACGTGAGATAGGAGCTAAAAATAGTTTAGAAAGTGAAACTTGTTTGACGTTAATGAAGTTTGCGACGGATAATTTTCTCGAATATACGTCATAGCCTTTTGTATGATATTCTATAACACTACTAATAGATCAAGCCTTTTCAGAATATAGATCGGGCTCCAGCATTCTTTCAACTCGAATAAAATGATCATATTCTGAAAAACAATTTGAAGAAAAAGGGCGATCGTCAGTTTATCGAACACTATGCCAAGTACTTTATGCTCATGATGCTGAGCAATTTCAGAAATTGTTCAACTTGTTCATTCCCCGAAAGTAATTTCCAGTATTGTAGATGTAGAGCAAATAGTGAGGGGTGTAGCAAGTCAGTTTGCATTTGACGTTGCTGGTTTTGCTTTCGAAACATTAGCTTGTGTGGAAGGTGAAATTGATAAAATTTTGACTAACGCCTTAAACCACAAATCAAAAAAATTATGATGATGTAGCAACTGAGGTAATATTGTCTTCTTCATATTCCTTGTTTGTATCAGTTTTAGGTAATATGATACGATTTTCAGTGTGAGGATTTTCATGTGAGGGTTCTCTAAAATGGTAATGCATGCATTTATGCCTGACAGATGAGAGCAGCGATTTCAGAAGCCTATGTGTGTGTTAAGGTTGAAAATGATCTTTTCAGTTTTTTTCAGTCTCAATTCTTTTTGATCACTTCTGTTTCAATCAGGCCGGATTGAAATAACATAGTGACAACATAGATTCTTCGGTAGGTACAGAAAAACAGCAAATCAGTACTATCTGCATTCCGTATTGTCATACTCAACCTGAGTAAATTTGCTAATTTCTGCAAAATGTGTTGTTGTAGTGCGAAAATATCGGGTTCTAATACATTTATTTTAATAAAAAAGATAATTGAAACTTTTTATCTTTTTACCACTTTCATTTGTGACTAATGTTGCTGCTGTTTCGTCCTATGAGGATATTTTCAAACTTATACATTAATTAATCTGAAGTGGCACTGAGACGAATTCAACATTTACTGATCAAATTGATGCAGAATCATTTGAAGCTGACGAGACGTCATTATTTCTATAAGCCTTCCTTCTTTACCTGTAGGTTTGCTTGATATTGTCAATAATTTTTCCAAAGAGATTTTTGTATGAGTGTATGTGGATTTGAAAAAAATTTATTGATATCTTCTTATTTGTCTGAGATCAAAACTGGTCTGAAATAGAGTTCAGTCCGTGTATCAAATTTCTGTTTTTAATGAAGTACATTTGACTCAAGAATGAATAATGGGTCTCATATTTGGGACGTCCGACCATCTTTGAAGGTTTTTGAGTCCAAGAAATTAGAGCATTCATTTTTATCGATAACCCTCATTGACTAGTTTCAGCATTACGAGCGTTAAGGATCTTTGATTTTCGTACAAAAAATGTTACCATTCAGAATCAGCATTCATTCTTGAATCATCAGTTGCAGATGCAGAAATCTTAACTCAAAACTGAAATAGTCTTTGGTGCACAGGCCTGATTCATGAGGAAAATACTTTCCTTTGTTAAACCCTATTCTCAGTTCTCTAATATTTTCGGTGACAAAACTTTGATTTTCACAACCGCAGTCTCTTGTGAAGAGATTCTTTACTAATTTCAGAACATCTTGTCCAAATCTGATACTGCTTCAATTTTCTTTGAGAATAGGCTGATCAATTTTTCCGCATGTTTTTGTCCGTTATCTTAATTCTTACGTCACATATTTTTTCAACAGTCCAAAAAAGTATCCAGTATAGATCCAGTCTTGGCTGCTGATGAAAATACAAAACGTATTCAAGAACCAGCTTATTGTGAGAATTTCACTAAACAAGTCTTGGAACCTCAACATCTGTTTCACATACAATAGCATCAGGCTTTATCATGCCTGGAAAAACGTTTAACTTGAATATATCGGTTCTCCCTCCGAAGTAACTCAATTTTTAAGCGCTCTTTGGCTACTTGATGGAATATAGCTTTGTCTCATGAGTGAGGATTTTTGTAGTAAATCAGTCAGTAAAACAAGTTCACAAAATTCGAGCGCAAAATTGTATATTGAAATATCAATGCGTGATGGGGTCGTTTGATGCCCCTCACTATAGTAATAGTTGCTTGTCTATCACTCATTACTTGTTTGTATATGTAAACAAAGTAGCAAGACGCAAGCCTACTCAAGTAGCCTTGTTTCATTTTGTTCATTTTGTAGAGCGACTTTTACTTTCAAACCAACTGTAACGCTTTGAAAGTTGGCGGATATGATAATGAACGAATGAATTCAAGGTGAAAGAAGGTCATGAATCTTTCCAGTGAAAAAGTATTTTCGATGTCAAGATTTGATACGGAAAGTCGAATTGAGAAATGTTTCCTATTAATAATGATTGTTTCTCGGAATCACGGTGAAAAATTATAATTAACTAGTAAATGTTTTTCACTTCTAGCATTTCCATGATGCCAAAGTTAAAGTCATTCTTGATTGTGACCACCGTTTTCACACTCGTTATTATTTTTATATTTCAGTTATGATTGATTGTAAGTAGAGACACTCAAATGAATTTGAACTGAAAACATACCTCCAGTTGTTCTGAGTCTATTGGATTTATTCCTCTTTTAACAATCGTCCTAGATTCGGCTGAATCTAAGATGGCTGCAAGACATACGAGAGTGACTGCCGACAAAAGTACTTGCTTCATTTTGCTGAAAAAAAAAAATAAAGAATTGGAAAGTGCACTATATAAATGAACACAAATATGTATGCAAATTATCTTAAGAAAATGCTTGAATTGATACAGATTGAGACGAAAATGTGAATTTATTGTATTCCAAAATTATTACAATATATTTTTATGAAACATTTGTTTTTAAATTAACGAAATATTCAGCCGCATCTGTATTTGAAAGAGTACTTGCTTACAAATCAGATTTTGTCAAGTTTCATCTTGACATTGAATCAACATTCCAATTAATAACTGGAGATTAACCGAGTTCGATTACTTCCGATATAAAAAAGTAAATTCCTTTGAAAATAATTGAATAACTAGTAATTTCAGAAATGTAGCCTATTGGTATTTTGGATATGTGTTTGGGAAGTACCAAACCTCAACACCAAATAAAACTGCACTACACAAAACAAAAACAACTGCGCACGTACACATCCGGTAAACCAATCACATTCTACCAAATGTAATAATATATCGTATGTAACCAAAAATTAAAAATATCAAAAATTCTTACACTATCCTATATCGAGACTTAACTTAGGAGTGAATGTGATAATTTCTTAAAGTTCTTCTTATTTCTAAGCCGACTTGTGGGGTTCGACAGTCGGCGAGAACGGTCGACAACGTAACGAGTGGTACTCAAGGAGGTCAAGGAAGGTACCGGCGATATAAGAGTTCTTGTGGCTGAAGATCTGCCCAATTCGATTCGGATGCGCAACTGGAAAAATATGGGTTTTTTTCAGTAAACGTGAAATTGTTTATTATTTAACAGGGCGTTCCTTGAATGGGTGCCCCAAAACAAGTCAATTCTGGAACTTTCATTACTCAGAAAGAGATTGTAACTATAATTTTTTGTTTTCGTAACGCTAATTAGCTGGAACAGAGTATACAATTACTTCATGAATTATAATATTATACAGTGCACATATTGTTTTGAATGTATTCGAATTTACTGACAGTTTGTGGTTGGAGAACATCCATTTCGTCAGAGTATAGAATACATAAAATACAGGGTAACATAAAAATATTTACTCATTTGAATTTATGAAAAATCTATCAATTGGTGAATGAACGAAAATTAGATTTTTAAAATTGGACAAAATCCATTTCGTCAGAGTATAGAATACATAAAATACAGGGTAACATAAAAATATTTACTCATTTGAATTTATGAAAAATCTATCAATTGGCGAATGAACGAAAATTAGATGTATGTACAGGAATATTCGATTTGCCTTCGTTTTTAAAATTGGACAAAATCTAAATCTATAAACATTTTTCCTCTTGGTGATTCTCTGCATTCCTGAACTTCTTCGACACATGTTGGTTTCTGCAGAAGCAGAAGTAGAAAGCCATCTGGAAATCAGTCTATTCTGTATCTAGCTGAGACTTACCTCTATGGCTTAGAATATTGGATAGTAAATGAAAATGAATTGCTATTCATCAATTTTTGCATTATTCATTGTTCTGTAATTCTCACTATCGATTTCAATACCAGATTTGTGAAGTGTCGCAGTTAAAATATTTCTCATCTTCATCTTTCGATAAGTATTCATCTTTATCTTTTGAATTTCATGGAATCATTTTCCAGCGGTTTGACTGCATTAACCTTTCTTGATTTCATATCATTTATAGAAACATGTGGATTCGTTTTCCGATGACTTTCCGAGAAAGTTTCCCAAATTTCTGGCAATGCAGTTGTTAGTTGATTCGTCAAACCACCAACGCCGACATAAAAACTTGTCAAGCTAACTTAAGTTTATCGAGTAATGTTATTTGTTTTTTTACATTTTGTCTGGATCTGGATCAGAATGTTTTAAAGGTAGCTGAAGTTGCCTCGTAGTGACTTTAGTGATACCTCCAGATGACCTGACTCAAACCACAAAGTGCGTCTGGCGTCTGTTGATGACTTTGTGAATTTGCGTTGTTTCTACATTCCAGTGTTGCCTTAGCTTCCACTTGTCTATACCGTACTGATGATAGATAATGAGCTAGAAACACGTGTAATCTTTATTATACTATCTACAGAACAAACCACCAGATTACCAGGTTTGTATAATAGTTGAATGTCCAATGTATTTCCATAGTTTTGAAATACAGGGTGTCAATTTGAAAACTCCCCAAACGTACTATCTTCCTTTTGATCAACAATGAGAGAAATCGAAAAAACGAGTCAATTTCATTGTCAAGAATGATACTTTCGAGGACTATTTGTAGTCCTCGTAGTTCAACCTCTTAGGAAGGGTAGATGTTACCATTAGAATTTTGAATGGAAAGGGAGATCAAGTGACCCATCATTTGGATTGGGGTTCAATTCTGCATCCGATGGTACCCTGACTCATTGTTTTTTGATGAGCATTTTTCGAAAAATAGCGTTCTAAACTTACACATGTAATTAGAATTTGCCTGTTCTGAAATGTCTTATTATATTGACACATTTCGATAAAAATGATTAGAAGAGTAGGTGGCACCATTCCATTTCTTGAATGACAGGAATGAATGTATTACGCGTGATATATTTTATTTGTTGGTATAATTGTCCTTATACAAACTAAAATTCAATTTGCCAGAAATAATCTCAAACATAAAATCAACACACTTATCTCATGAACAAAATGTCATCCATTTCCATCTAAACAGTAATAAAGTCTGTTGTAAAACTTATCGCTAACATTAAGGAAAACTTTACTAGGGATTGACTGGAATTGCTGCTGTAATTCGTCTTTCAAGTTCTTCAATATCAGAAGCTTGTGTTTCATAAACAATGGATTTGAGATGCTTTCAAAGAAATACATCCCAGGGTGTTGAATCCGGTGATCTCGGAGGCCATTCAACTGCTTCCCTTCTGCCAATCCATCCATCCGTAAATATCTCGTTCAACCATTGTCAAACGGAAAAAATAATGAGGTGGAGCACCATCCTGCAAAAGTTGATTGCCTTCTGCATCCATTCGGGTTTCTAGCTCGTGAGTTATAAGAGGATCGACAGTCTCTTCAAGTATTCCAAGGTAGAGATTGCCACTCTGGCATTTGAAAGAATACAAGCTCAAACATTAACATTTTGTTGGTGATATGTATGCCCTTCTCGGAAAATATGTGGGTTTTCGTCACTCCAATAGCGACCATTTTCCCTATCAACATTGTCAGTCACAAAAATTAATACTCATTGCTGGAACAGATGTTTAACAGAAAATCAGGGGTGGTATTGACTCGATGAGACGTGACTTCTCGTAGCTTTTTTTATCATAATCATCCTCGTGGAGCTCTTGAATAATCTTCATTTCATAAGGATGAAATTTATTCATTAACATTGTGAGTTTTTTTTATTTGTCACTGAAACAGTTTCGTGAAACTCATTCACCAAATCAAGCACATACCGGTGACCCTAATTACAATTTGGATGTCTTTCGTTAAAAAGACTTGACGCCCTTCGTGCACACTTTCCAACTTCTCCATAAATTGAAAAATGTAAACCATTTTCACACTTTTATACACTTATTAAAATAGTCACCAAACAGTCCACTTAACACAACTTCAGAACCATCTACGTTTTATTATTAAACTATTTTTTGATGTAAATTATTTGGAGGTAATGTCTAATGTTACCCCTACTGAAAGGTTGGAACGGTAATACCTAATATTCTTATCAGTTCTGGGCAAACCATTCGTCTCAGTATTGGCGGACTAGTAATTACTTCTGTTTGTTTAGAACGGTATTTTTCGGAAAATGCTGATAAAAAAATAATAAGTCAGGGTATCATCAGAAGCAGAATTGAACACCAATCAAAATGATGTGCCACTTGTCCCCTCTTCCCATGTGAAATTCTAAGGGTAATGTCTAACCCCCTCCTAAGGGGTTGAACTACGAGGGCCACAAATAGTCTTTGAAAGTGTCCTCCTTGACGATACAATTGAACTGTTTTTTCGATTCCCCATATTGTCTACAGGAAGGAAGATATTTAGGATGGGAAGTTTTCAAATTGGCACTCTGTATACTTAGCGAAATATTTCAAAAGTGTTCTGAGTTGGCCTTCATAAAGCATAAAAATATGTTGTGACGAAATGAGTTCACACATCAGTTGCTAATGCACATCAACAAAAAGCTTCCTCATTAGGATCTTGTATAACACTTGGCTATTTGGTACTGATGACAGCTAATGAGCCAGAAACACGTGTCTGCGGTTTGCATAGTTTTCGAATGTTTCGTCCATGAATTTTTCCTGCTTTCAATTATATCAAATTCACCCGCTAAATTATCATCTATATCGAATACTGGACCCGAATGTCATGCAGTTAGCTAAAGCTGCCTGACTTTAGTGATATCTCTAACCCGAGATTATTCGACCGAAACCACAAAGCGCGACTGGCTTTTGTTGATGACTATGTGAATTTGTGTTATTTCTACAACTAATTTTAGCCCTAATTGCACTTGGCTATACCGTACTCATGACAGCTAATGAACTAGAAACACATGTGACAATCTTTATTATACTATATACAAAACTATTTCGTTGATATAGATTACCAGGTTTGTATACTAGTTTACTAGTTTAATGTCCAATGTATTTTTTATAGTTTTGGTATACACTTAGCGAAGTATTTCAAAAATGTTCTAACTTGGCCTTCATAAAGTTTAAACATGTGTTGATAGAAATTGGTTTTTGAAACGAAATGAATATTCTTATCAAATGCTAATGCAACAAAAAACTTTTCATTAAGGTCTGTAAGAAATGTCAGTTGGTGGTAACAATATCTAATCAGTAGCTGCCAGGGAATATTTGAGGATGTGATTGTGAAAGAACATAATGAGTCACACAATTTTGCAAGCTTTGTCGATTGATTTGTTAAGCATCAAATTGGATATCAATTTTATACTCAATAACACAGTCAACAACTACTAATTCTTTACAGTGCTTGAGTTAGATCTTTGGAATATCCCTGAGCGTACCCTCAGAAAACAGATCCATCCATCTGTTAGTCGCCTAGATTCCACAACAAAATATGTGCAAAGTACAACTATCTATATCTAACTCTCAGATGATAAGTTCATTCCAACATTATTTTTTTCTTCCTTCTAGAAGTGAAAAAGCAGTAAATCATAATACAAATATAGAATGCGCTATATGAGACGCAGAATTGAAGGAACGCAAATACAAGCGATTGAAATAATGAAAAACCTGTTGAATTTCCAAATTTGAAAAAATGTTTTTCGTTAACCAGCTTCGCACTTCTACTAACGACAACCCTCAGAAGTCAAAACTTGTACGAGCTTGAGACTTGCGAGGTCTTACCTCTCAACGTGTGATTCCTAACACGGGTTGAACGATAGCAAATGAAAATCGATTATTCAGCCTGCGGCATGAACCATCGACTAACACGACGGTCGATTGATTGAGTGAACGAAGCACTCAAGTCGAACCGACTGGCTACCGACTGTCAAGAGATGACCACAAGAGGACAAGCTTCAAAGTAAGGGTGATGATATATATTGGACTGACGAGTGATATCGAGAAAAGCTGTAGTTCAAAAAGTGCTTTGAAGAACGCACTAGAAGAGCCACTATTGATCTTGCCATCTCTAGAGAAAATAATTCACATATTCGGAAGTAGATTTCAAATATTA